GTGCCGTATCATAATAAATTATAAATCATCGAGATTATATCACTTCGTCGCGTAGGTACGCGATGACGAGGTTTCATCACGTAGCGAAATTTACCGAAATATATTACCTTATTATCTAATAAATAAGTTTCCGTTTGCGCGTGCAGTCGGGTTTTGGAAAACACGCTATTAGTTCGTAAACAAACTTTTAACGCGACCCATCGTCAAGGAAAATAATCTTTTGCGAGTAGTTAAAACGTTTGTTTTTTTGTGAAAAGTTTAATAACCGTTTGTATTATGTTATTTATTTAAAAACAGATATTCGAACCGTTAAAATTATACGCGGTTATGAGACAATATAGTATAGCTATGTTTTCATTTTATAATATTTTTTTATTTGAGAAATAATATTTTACTCATTTGAAATCAAGCGATATTTTACGTAGAAAACAAAAATAAAAAAATCATATTATTATAAATATACACGGATTAAAAAATATCAATATTAATATAAACTGATATATATATATATATAAGGTTGATTCAAAAAACTTAATTACCAAGATCGAAATGTGTACTCACTTTCCAAGTGATAAGAAAAAATAATTGTGTAGGAATTTTCACGCAATATCTCACCTATTTCGCGTAGCGAAAACGGGTCTGACTTATTATGAACCTGCTGTCAACGCATTTGTTTTATTTTAGTAACAACCACGTAGATACTAAACAGCACTTTGCAGCACCTCCGTATTCAACAAATATCCCATATGTTCGAGTTAATTATTTCACTCATTTTGTTTCGCCTTTATGTCACGCGGACAAGAAAAAAGTTAGGATAGCTACTATTACTTTTCCCCTTTACATTTCCATCGCAACTTTTTAATCTATGCTCATCCGCACACGCCGTTTCTTCCCATTTATCATCCTAAAACTCGGAATTTTTAAACACATCCATAGTGATTAAAATACAAACACATGCGTGTTATACTAAAATATTATTAAATTTTAATATTCGCGTTTTACCGAGATTTCCTCGGGAGAGGTTCGACGAGTCGCAGTCGTGTGCAACGGTAGGTGTAACTGCTATACCTGTGGGGGATGCAAGCGGTTTAGGGGAAAATATATTTCACGTCGGACCGTTCGACAAAATGAAGAATAACTGCTGGCCGCCCGCCGCGAAAGGCGAAACGGTAAATCCCCGTTGCCAGTGCTCCCACTCTCGCCGGACGTCCCGCTGCCGTTTGCGGAATAATTCCGGTGGTACGGTTGCCTCGTGGGACGAACGCACTGAGCACTAGTACAACAAAATTACGTTTTTTTTTTTCTTTTTATATTTGAGAAAACACGAGATTTCGCAAAAAAAAAAAAAAAAAAAAAAAAAAAAAATAAATAAATAAATAAAACTTAGTCATTGTAATGTACCAGTAGGTGCATTCGCTTGTTGAAGTTTTTATTTCCTAAACGTAAAACGAATGAAAATTTCCAAAAGAAGTTTAAGCGGGACGAAAAAAGGAGAAAATTCATAATTTTCAACAATATGCCAATAACGCAACCATTTTTTTCAACGGTTCTAAACCTGTATCAGTAACCGGAAAGACAAAGCGGCCAGTTTCTTATTTCTTATTATTGGTTTTTCCACGCGCGATCGTGTTTCGTTTTCTCAAATATAAAAAAGGCTAACGAATCGCGCCCCAAAACCAGTAACTATGCTACACGTGCGTTTGCTCACGACCGCCGCCTTCTCCTACAAGGATTGTAGGGGCGAGTGAGGGGGACGAGAAAGGGGGGGCGTCGGAGTCACTTAATATTCACGTTACCCTTATCGGCGCCATACCGTGTATAGCCTTTGTTACGTGCCTTTCCCTCAACACTTTTCGTCTCATTCACCGTGGCGGGGGGAATCCCTGGCTTTTCTTCTCATCCGCGCGCGCAACAAAATTCCGGCAGATCGATTTCCAAAGTTAAATTATTATATTATTTTCGTCGTCGCTGAAGGTACCTACTAAATATATATATATATATATATATACAAAAAAAAAAAAAAGGAAAAGAAATAATAATATCCTTTGAAATTCGTCGTGAGCTTTTTTCAGTACTTTTCCCCTCTAGATTTCTCTCTCTTTTACCGGGCATTGCAAAGCCCGAACGCGGTTGTTATGTACGTCCGGACACACGCGGAGTTCGTTTCATATAATATCTCGTTTTTTTTCCTATTGAACCGTAATTTCGTGTATGTATCATAGACACGGGGTCTAATAATCGGTACAAATGACGTTAACGCGTCAGTTGACGGAGAACGAAAATGGTTCGGGCGATTAGTATTGTGTTTAATGTTTAATTGATTATTTGCACGAAAAATACCGTGTAGAAATAATATCAATAATAATTTACAAGGACTCGGAAGTTATATACAAAAAAGAAAAAAAAATTTAACTTGGCAAAAAAAAAAAAAAGTCGAATACGTACAAGATATAAAAAATATATCGTAATAAATATTATATTATAATTATAACAAATTATTGTCGATTTCCGAGTTAATTATTGGTAACAAGGCAAAATGTATAAATAACGATACTCTGTTCGTAATCGCTTTTCTTTAGCAACGGTTTATCGTGGCGTAGAGACACGGACGTAAATGAGGTCCTCGAGTTCATAGGGCTTGGGCCCAAAAGGACCACCGGTACCCACATGGCTGCACAACGATACGTTTGGGCGGCAGGCCGTTTTAATAGGCCGTCAATTGATCATAGTTTATGGAACACTGGAACTGGTAATGGGCACCACCGGGCACCAAGTAAAACCTGCCGAACCACTCAATAGTTTAAAATTATCAATTTACTCGGTCGGTTCTAGAAACTGTCGACTGTCGAAACATTCTATCATTTTCTTGTGATAATATCTGTTCAGCGGACAAAATACTAGGTTGTTTTTTAAACTATCTATAGTAAAAACTAGTCAGCGCCGAATGAAAACTCTCGGCCAATTCATTCGACAGTATTCGAAGCAATCGACGAATAAAAATATCAGTTGAGTCGATAAACCGTTCCGTTGACAATCAATGTCAAAACTAGTAGTTTCCGCCCGTTACTAATTGCAACGTTAAAACGCGATGAAAACCTACTCCTACATATATCATTACTATTATTATATTTATGACTATTGTGATTGATTATAAATTATATAATTTATTACGATAAAGATAACCCGTACATTAAAACATCTTAGGGAGGGCTTAAAATGGCTCGGAGCGGGCTAAGCCTTCTTAAGCTCCCCCCCCACCACCACTCTGTTTACGTCCACGCGTACGGAAACAAATTAAATTACTAAATTATCATAATATATCCCTCCCTTATGACTCCCGTATCGAAAACGACCGTCAACAGCGTCGGCCTTTTACCATACGGTTTCCGTTGTTTCCGACGGGGACGGCCGCTCGGCTCCGTCGCCCCATGTCCCCGTCGGATTCGCCCTCGATACGAACGAATCCCGGAAAAACACCGCCGTTCCCGTCAACGTATTGCGCCCGCATGCGTTATTGCGCGTCCGAAATCGATCGGCGTCACAAAAACGATTGTCGTTCCAGAGGCGATTCGCGCGCGGTAATCGTTGCGGATATTATCGTTAATGCCGTGTGTCGGTCGCGCACCTCAAACCGAACGTGCTCGCGCGCGCGTGCGTACGCGGCGAAATAGATTTGTTGATATTGCGCGAACGCGACGCCGGCGAAACGAGTGTTTCGCAATTGTTTGCACACGTGTGCGTAACGGTTGTCCGTTCGTGTAATTTAACGCGACGCAAACAAAACAGACGGCCGCCGTACGGTTTACGCGCGCGCGTACGCGAATGCGCGGCGCCCGAAAACCGTACGTCACAATAAACCGCGTCCGCGCGCGTACCCGCGTTACGTTTCACGCGCCCGCCAGTGTCGCCGGACGTAAAATCGAATTTTTCAGGCGGGCGGGCGGGCGGGCGTTTGACGCGCTCTTGAACGTTACCGTTGCACCACCCCCACCCCCACCCACCCGTCATTGTATTGTTGTTACGCGAAACGACTGCGGCAGTTAGCGTTGTAATTCGTTTACACACGCACACGCACACGCACACGTGTATATGTATATTGTTATGATATCTACCACGCGGTTCGCCAACGCGCGGACGTGTGGGCAGGGTGTTGTGTCGTTATAATATTATTATTTTCGTATTGGGTCTTGTGAGGAAAAAACAAGCGTACCGAAATTTAAATGTTAAACATTACGGTTTTTTTTTCCAAAAGCGACGAAATCATAGTAGATATGCGTTTGTTCGTTGTAGGTTTCAGCGTGTATTATGGCAATTATAACTCGACACCTACAGCAAAGCATTTTTAACAGTAAAAAAATATATATATATATATGTATAAAACGACCTAGAACAATACGATGTTAATACACGAGTACGTATGTACGTGAGATTGAAAATATCGAAATGGTTATCGCCGTAAATTTAATCCGTTCGTTAAAAAAATAACGAAATTCGACAAAAAGACCGCGTCCTGTTTAAGTACGATAATATAAAAAAATTCAGAGTATCAGTCTGCTATGGTATTATTGATAATCATACGTGTTTCCTAAGAAAAAAAAAAAAACACACCTTTGCAATTATTATTAACATTTTTTTAATTTCGATTTAATGACGAAACAAATTGTTTCAATGAATATATCATATACGTTTTTGCCGAATTTAATATTCTGGAAAAGTTATAACGGGAAAAGAAATAAAACTTCATTTTGACAAGAACAATAAATTATATTTGCTTAGAGTAAAATAATGTATTATTACACAAAATCATCAAACGAAGAATTTTAAATTCTAAGCGGAGTGAGAATGTGTTGTTTTTACATTAATGTTTATTTTTTATATTTTTTTTTTTCTGTGCACAACTTTATTACAGTAATTTTGCTTTGATTAATAATGATTTTACTTTTTCTAAAAAAAAAAAAAACCAAACTGAAGAGGTACTTTAAGGTCATCTGTTTGATTGTCTCGGGGGTTCTCCCGATAAACGGAAAAGAACAGGGGAAAAACTCTGACTATACTCACAGTAAAAAATTAATTCGTCTATTATTGTAAGCCGCAACTTGCAACCAGTGTTAAAATTATGAATATTCGATTATGAAATATGTTTAACGCTCAAAATTGTGTCGATTGCATTCCGAACACCCACATAACGTTAACGCAGAGTGAGTATGTAATCCCGTAATAGAAAAACGATTCATTTAGAATAATTATGAACCGATTCAAGTGTTTGTTCCGGGCCCAGCGTATTGGCGATGTTGTTTGTGAACTCTGCAATACAAGGACCTCGTGTCATATTATATAATACATGAGCTTTGATAGCAAATTTATAATATATTATTAAACTATTGCAAAGGTCGTGAAATTTTTTTCGTGTTCTTGTGAAACAAATAAAAATCAAAATACGTAATATAATATTATAATCTATATTGCAATAAAAATATCCTGCGCAATCGACCCGTCCTATTTACCGCGACACCGCGTTATTTTCATTCGTTTTTTTTTTATTATTATTTCAACCTTCATAACCGAAGAAATTATGCGAATTTATTTCGAACGTCACGTTGATTTTCGGTTTATACACTATATTTTATACCGAGACAATATAAATTATTCATTAAATTATAATACTTTCTCTATTTTATATGTATATATTGTATTACGGGGAATATTTATTTCAATTTATTACTGTACGTATATATTTATGCATTTCGGATAATATCGAACGACGACGACGGCGGCGGCGGAAAAGTCGACGACGAAAGATAATACAAATACCGCCTAGCCACTCGAACGGTTTTTTTTTTTTTTTTTAAATACGCGATAACCAGTGTTTGCGATTATGTATAGTTAGGTTCCATCCGTATAATGTATGTTTGTGTGTTAATCGTCTTAACCGGATCAACGGAATTTTATCCGGGATAAAAAACCAAATCAATAATAACCGTCATATATAGGCATGTTGTCTCGATCGTAATAATAACAATATTATTCGCATTCGACGCGATGGGCGGATTCGTTCTCGTACACGATTTATAAACGAATCGGACGGCGTTTGTGATAAAGGGTCCGGGTCAAATTATATATCACCCGTCAATTTTGCGAGCGATTTCACGACTTTTCGATATTTTATGGTTATGAAATCTTCTTTTCATTGGGAACGTATTTGAATTAAAAAAAAAAAAAAAAAATACTTCTTAGTTTTTGTTAACTTGTATGAGAGTGTAACGCAACATTCCAATGAACCCTGTTCGGTTTAATGAAAATGAAAAAGTTCAATTTTTTTTTTTTTCAGTCACCTAATACCATAGTTGTTTGGTGATATAATTATGTATATATATATATATTGTCGAGTCACACACTAAACTTTGTCAAACTCGTTTCTTCGGTATCTTCAAAAACTAAAGTAATTGTCCTTTCTTCCAACACTACCGCCGAAAACACTTTTATTACACGCCTTTGTTTTATTAGGTTTAAACTGCAGGTCTACTCGTGTTAGTGTTGGCTCGTGTGGTAGTGTTAAGCTAGCTAATTTACTCTACTTTTACAGGAGCCAAACAACAAAAAAAAAAAAGACAAAACGCCCACGAAAGAGTATTATATAACAACTATATAACAGCGTGTATATGCCCATTTATTTTTAACCTTTGTATTTTGAGAAACGGAACTCAATTTATTTCGTTAAACACGTTTTAAACAGGTATGAATATTATACATATTTTATCTTTTTAAACTCCGTAAAAATAAAAATATTTTATTATGATATTAAAATAATAAAAAAATAAAAGGACCGGAGAAAGTTTTTCAAACTTATATACACGATTTCCCGTCAACTGCCGGGCAAGTAAAACTTTGTATAGCTCGCAACGTACTCTTATTATTATATACGTACCTATATTTTTGTATTTATCAATTTTATGTTTTTTTCCCCTCAAAAAGGTGCGCGGCATTCATAATTATAGTGTTACGGTAATATTTCGCGTATATTTAGGGTTCGCGTTTACATAATTTCGTTCCAGTTCCGATCTCACGTGAGGTCAAGCGATGTCAATAATATAGAAATCGCTTATAATATACGGGCTTTGTAAATATACTAGTATTATTATTATTATTATTATTATTATTATGTATACAGATGAGCGATCAATCCTCGATAATATACTCATTATTGAGGAGTTTGTTAGCTCTTAACGGAATTTACATTTCAAAGAATTTCGGAAACAGTCAACTCTAAAATTGTACATTTTCGTCACCCTTATTTCCGATGTGACGGTTTCACATCGAATACCTAGCCACTTTTGATTTTCAAATAGAAACCACTATTAAAAATAACATTGCCATACGAACTATTAGTTTAAATACATATTAAATTTTCATAAGCCCGTTGACAATGTAGTCCGCTGTTAAGTTCATACAGTGGGTGGGTGAGAGTAGTCGACCATCTGTGACAACAAATTTAAATGACAATAGACTAGGTAAATTAGTTACAGAACACCTGCAGTATACCCCGTATACAGGAATTTTATATGCCAAATTTATACTGTCAATATTTATTTTATATTATTTATATATATTAATATAATATGTGTTTTATATTAATTTATATTTATATCTATTTATTGGACATCGTTAATTGTTACAAATTTCGAGTCTGACAAAAGAAATACAAAATATTCGATGGAAATAATTAATTGTAAATGAACACATTTCGTACCTGGCGAAAAATAATGTAAATATTTGATGAAAATAATTGTTACGAATATTAAAATAAAACATCTGCAGTGTCGTAAACAGAAATTTTATATGGTAAATACCTATTTATTGGACATAATTGATTGTTATAAATTTCGGATCTGACAAAAAAAAAATACCAAATATTTGATGGAAATAATTAATTGTAAATGAACACATTTCGTACCTGGCGAAAAATAATGTAAATATTTGATGAAAATAATTGTTACGAATTTAGTATAAAAAGAACGTTTCGCAGTGTATCGACATTGTATAATTGTTTTGCTTTATAGTGTATACGATTATTGTTGTAAACCAAAAAACCAAACAAAAACCAAAATGAAATCATTCAGTTTCTGTCTGGCAGTAGCAGCCATCTTGATCATCAGTTATTGCGTAAGAACACGTTATGTTATTAAATCTATTTTATATTTTTCTCTAAACAAAAATGTAAGGAACCTTTTTAATTTTTTTTTTTTTTTTTTATTAACATATCAAAAACAAAACATTTAATATACATCAAAAATAAATTTGTTATAGAATTGATTGACTTACCTCCTGTAAGCTTATGCAGCTTGTGTTGGAGATAAGGAGCTATGATTACTAATAAATTTATATATATATATAATAAATAAGAACATAGTGTAAATATATTTAAATTAAAATTTGAAATACATATTGAAACAACTTTAGAAATATATAAACCAGCCTATTTTCTAAATAACAATGCTAAAGGCAAATGAATAAATAAAAACAAATCAAAATATGTGCTACAGGTATAGGTACAATAAATAAAAAATAATAAAACAAAATTGGGTTATATTACTGTAAATTCTTGTATAATTCAAAGAATAAATATTTGTATGTTAAATCTTTAATATTTACAATTTCACTACCAAGTGTTTTTTTTTTTTTTTTTTTTTTAAAGTCATAGGGCTTAGAGTTGAAAGAAGTTGGGCCCTGATAGTCTAAAAAAACGCTGGCTGAACGAAGTACTCACATATTTAACAGTCAAATCATATTTTATCGTTTCCCTTTTGTTGTTTACTTCCTTTTGATCGTTATTTAAATTAAATTTTTTAACCAAACACATAAATACAATTTTTTTTTATATAAAATCCTTTTAGGCAATACACCAAATTCATCATAGTTATCGTTCGTAGATCCTTGCAGAGTGAATTTACTAACGTTTTCAAAGTACCGAAGTTGAATATTTTCTAAAAATGTCGATAAAAAAAAATAAACGGTCAAGCTCACATCTCTAGGCATACATAATATGTTCCGAAACAAACTACCGTTTATCTAATATTATTTATAGAATAAAAACTAATTATAAATTATATTATTGTAGCAATTGATAAGCGCAGATGCACCATTGGATCAAAGTAACAGAGGACCTATCAATATCCGTTGAAGTGGTATGTCGGCACCATATGCCAATAAAGGATCATGTGTCCAACCATAGTTTTACTATACTTATCTGCAGAGGACACTGGTTACCAAAACTCACAACGTTTTAAAAATATATGCACCCACATCATATACTTATATTATGCACACTTTTAAACTTTTAACGGTTTCACTGTTAAAATACTAATAATTAAAATGTATTTTTATCCGAAATACACAACAATTATTATATTTTGACATTGTACCTATGTTATATGATTATGTATTATGAATGACGATTAAGAAATTCAGAAATAAAATCACATATTATAACCACTGATTTTGTTGTAACTTTTATTGAATCCTTCCTAATATTTGTTACGAGAAACTAACACGGCGTCAATTTTGTGTCTACTAGTGCTAATCTATTATTTAATATAAATTTAGTACAGACATGCGAATAAATACCTATCAAATCGATACAACGGACGAGGGAAAGTTTTATTACCTACCGAGCGTACTTCCAGTTTTCCGTACATATTTAAAACTATTTTCACTTTATACTTAGTGTAATAACATTTTAGATTCTGAGTGTAACGAAGAAGGTATTGGTTTTACTAAAATGTTTTTTTTTTTTTTATACTGTGTACAAACATTCTACCAGAAATCTTGTTACAATATGTACACGCATAACCATTTTTAAAAGGAAATATTATTCGGATAATATTTTCAGGAGGTCATTTTTTGATTATCCAAGCGGTCTTATTAATATCTTGGAAAAATCTGGTTAAACCGTAAGAAACACGGAAAATTTACGAAGATAATGCTTTTATTATTTTTCAATTTTATTATTTGTTGTTATTCAGTAAAAATTATTCATAGAAATTAGGACAAAAAACTCATATTCGTCTTTTCTAAATATGGTATAAATTTTGAAACATTTGAGCTATTTTTATGTTTTTGAAACAATTTTTTAAATTGTTTAATGAAATTCAGTTAAAATATTCGTATCGACTCTAAGGACTTTAATATACTATTATATCGTAATACAATTTTAAATAATTTGATTTACAACCATTTCAATCCTTAACTCTGTTTTACTTGGTGCGACCCGTTTCGCTAAGACTCGACCTTTCACGTTTCACCCAAACAGGCATTAGGCATTTAAAAAATTAAGATTGAAATGGTTGTAAATCAAATTATTTAAAAAATTTTAAATGCCTAATGCCTGTTTGGGTGAAACGTGAAAGGTCGAGTCTTAGCGAAACGGGTCGCGCCAAGTAAAACAGAGTTAAGACGTGATAAAACAAAACATACAAAAACCGTAAATCTATTAACCTATGAACTGATCTTTCGTCACCCACTCTCTCTAATGTTGTGAGTTTATATAGAAAAAATAAAGATAGTAGATTGCATAGAATTCTAATATCTACCTTTTTCACAAATTCGATGTTCGTCAGATCTTTGGTTAATAAACTATTCGATTCAATTGTATTTCATATAAAAAGACAACTCGGATGTAACATAGATGAAGTATTTGTTTATAGACGCTGAGTTCAATAACATTATTTTACGTGTCATCGCAGTAATTAACCACTCGTGTTTATACAGTCGTGAAATATCAAAATCCCCCCCCCCCTCCGTTGTTTCACAAAGTAACAACAGCCGTTGTAGCATTAGCTCGTGTCCGATTGATTTTCACGGACGGAAGATGTGGGAATACAATACGAAACTCTCGAATTTTTTTTTTTTTTTCCCGCGTATTTTGAACCTTCGTGTAGGTGATGGATACGCGCACCTTTATTATCGCGGCACCTACCCACCGCGCGACTGTTCGAGGTTTTCTGACAGTAATGCGTTTTTGAAACGACGCGACACGAAGACATATCGATAGAACATAATAATATACTATATAAATATATATTTGCAGTAACCCTTTTATTATTCCGATTGACAATTCAACCTGCACGTTTCACTTCCGGCCGCTATGGCAGCAGCAGCAAGTCGCGCGTACAGCAGTCGGGCTCTCTCTGTTTTATATTTGCGACCTGTTAAATTAAATGCGAAAGTCGGCGTTTTGAATAACCGCCGCGCCGCCGTCGTCGTGCTAGGCAGAACGGCAAAAAAAAGAAAACGACGAGGGGATGAAAGGGGGGTGGGGGAAACCCCGAGAGGAATAAAGAGAGACGGATGCGAAAGAGTCACCCGAACGGAAATTGCGACGACCGAATGAAACGTTCTGCCAACACCGCTGCGCGCGCAAAAAAAAAGAGAAAATGGATTAGTTTTCTCTGGGACGTCGATAAAACCATTGTCGAGATGTCTGCAGTTGTATACGTCGGTGTAATCTGCGGCGAAGAATCGCTCCGCGCCAACTGCGACTACGGGGCGAAATTAAAAGACACTATCGTTAATTTGCAATTTTATGTCAGTTTACTCGGGACTGTCGAATGACGAAATCCATTTAGATATCTAAGTAGTGAGGTAATTATAAAATAATAATTTCCTATTTTCCTCCGTTTATTTCCCGAGAGTATTCTATGTTGTTTTTACCCTCGTACACAATTTAAATTATGAACTTATTCCTTAAATAGGAATTACATATACTCCTATCTGTCTTTTTCTCTCGGAGTCTTCAATCTTCAGATCGGTTTTCAGCTTCAATCCGTCCGTATATCGGTCGCCCGGTTTTCGTTATTTTGTGTATAGTAAATTCGAATAACGTCTTTGATACTTCGCGACCTGTATCCATTATTTTATATTCCAGCCCATATTCCATTCCAGCCGAGGTTTTCCTCGGCGGTTCTTCATTTTAACGCTACAGTCTATGCCCTAGCATAACACAACCTCCACGTCTTATGCTTTTATAATTCATTGATTCCGTCATTTTATCAATGTTTTCCATAGTTTTCTTCAAACACAATTTCTTTACAGTTTCTTTCAAATATTGTGTATGGGTAATAAAATCGTCCGTATAGGCGTTTAGAAACCAGTCAAGAAAAAAAATGATCAGTAAATTGATCAGTATTGTTTAATATTTATTATATAGGTATTACAAAAACAATTTTGAAACTTTCCGATGATAAATACGTAGTAATCCTGTGCATTGTATACTTTATCCGCCGAAGGGGTGCATTTATAAAAAAAAATTAAAAGTTTCTCGAGAGTTTTTGTCGGGATAATATTAGCGCAAATATTCTGTTAAAATATTTAAAATTGATAATTTAATATTCATACCCAACATTATAAATAAATTGAACTACAACACGTAGATAGCATAAACCGATTGATGATCGAAACCGAACAAATTCAGTAATATAGTAAATAGTTAAAATAAAATATTTTAGTGAATATAAAATTTTAATACGTATCCTCCTATACCTACCTATTTTTTCTTACAGCTTTTATAATTAATAATTAAATGCGATAAATCGTTTATGTTTTGTTCACGGGAGCATAAAGGCTGAAAAAAAGCCATTTACACGGGCATTGGTGCACAATAGTGTTAAGTTGGAGCCTAATAATATTATATCGTACCTACTTTATTTTCACATAAAACAATACATCACGTGACAAGTTTATAGTGGACATAATATGCCGAGACTTTTAGCATAAAATCATTACTATTCGAATGGTTAATCAAACGATACGTGCTTAACAGTCATTATAAATCGAATTTGTAATTACATTTAAAACGGTCTTTATCCAGTACCTATATAACGTTATTGAGGGACGAGAAATTTTGTTAGTACTTATTTTTTTAGGTAAATAGAGAATGGGCCGTTTTTACGTACAATTAATATGAGTGCACGGGAATATAGATGACTCGCATTGTCAATTTGACATTTTTTAATTGAAAAAAACTATATAATATAGCCCACATTATCAAACTCCGTTTCAAATAATGGTGGAAAAGTCGATCGAAAAATAGCTTAAAATCAATTATATTTTCAAAGTATACTAAAAAGTTTAAGATTGAAATAATGAAAAACGGAGTTTAATTTATTAAATCTATTAAGTCTATTTCCAAAAAAAATAACAATAATAATATCGTCGAAATTCTACGAGGCATTTTGTCCTAAAAACGGCCTAAAAGGCCTAAAAACGCGCTGGCACCCGGTTCCCTCAAGGGCATTTGAAACAACGCAAAAGACACTATTTCTAAAATTCCATCATGTGTATCATCATTTCGTGTAGTGAGTAGCGAGTATAATAACTTTATATAAGGAGAACAGTTTTTTGTTTTGTTTTTTTTTTTGGAAAATCCTTAGCCTACGGGGTTCAAATCGCGTTATTTTACGAGTGGCAGTATTTTTTTATGTTGGTATCGAATTTATTATACGCCTCATTTATTACGGGATTCTTTAGGCCGATTTTTCGCTATCCGAATGTGATCATAACTTAAATTTGATAAATTTTGAGTTGTGGCAATGTTGTTCTAGAGGTGCGAATTATGTGCACGGCGTACATGCATTTTAATTTTCAATAATCGCTCGATGTGCGTAGGCAAATTTTAAGTTTCAAACCTCATTATCAATTTTATAAAACTATGTATAACAAAAAAAACCCCGGAGTGCCAGACACAATAATTTATGCCAGTTTAATCATACTCGGACGTTTTCATTTTTGTAAATGCAGCTGCATCTGCGCATAATGTTATTATAGAAATATTATTCCCGAATCAATATTTTTGTAGTATTGTTAAAATAGAGATTACTGATTTTGTGAATGGACAATTTGACAAAAATATCATACCGCTACGAATAAATTGTTTTAAATTATTTAAATGTACATATACACGTACGGAGCGAGAGATAGGTATTGTGCGATAAATGCAATATTACACGTCTCCCAAAATACACCGACTGCCGTGTTTATAATAATTTATTTGTAAAATATAATAATACATGATCGCAAACTGCAGTCACGCGTTTTGACAGCGAGTAGAATCTACGAACAAACATTCGGACATACTTTCCACTATATATTGTGTAGGCTACTGTTGATAAATACTGGAGGTTCGAGTGAAATTGAATATAATGCAATTTAGTTTATCTATTTGATGTATGTCTACTGAGAGCGACGGTAAAACATTGCATTCGTAAAACGATTCTGAACGAATCACGGTAAACTGATGAGGGTATTTTCGGATTTATTCCCATTGTTTCATTATGATCAAGGCAACCCGAATATTAACAAAAATAAAACGAATGACGTATCGTCATCAGCATAATATTGTTGCGATTTTTAAAAATATTTTTTTTTTTATTTCAACGCCTGACGGCAATTCACGAGAACGATGCATAAAATACATACAGATTCGGTAAATACGATACAGTAAATTATTAATGATGACAATTAAATATGATTATATAGTACCAATGATAGAATACGATAAAATAGTTAAGGCAAGCAAAATAATAGGTGGTGAACATGTACAAGTTAACAGATTATACAAACAAAAACTGTATGGTCTGAGTCTGAGATTTGTCGTACACCACGACTAGAACTAAATATCTAGAAGACTAGGTCCGAGTTAATTATACGCGTGGTTAGGTAAAACGTAAATAGTTTGTTTCAC